TAGTGTGCAGCATGCGACTCGCGGTTGCTGATCCATGTGGTTTTGCCTCGTCGCGCGACAAACGCCAAGCGGTCTCCGGAGAAGAAGACATTTCTGGGGCTGGCGGAGGAGTCGCGATAGAAAAGGCTCGTGTATACCATCGCACGCACGGGGAGACCTATGCACAGATGTATGGTGAAACTCTGCGTTGTGTACAGTAATATGTTCGTACGCCCAGACTACCAGACGTACCAGTTGAGAGGTGTGCATACGTCAATGCCAGGCGATTAAACTCTCGCAGGGAGCAGATCCAGCGCCACACTGGTTCTATGCTAAACTTGCCGGGTGCATCAGGCATGGTAAACTCCTCGACTAGCTCTGGAGTTTCCAAGATGTGCTCCAGCAACATTGTATAAAAGTCATGACCGTCGATGTCCTTCAAATCCCGGCCGACCCAGGACTGAGGGGGCCCGGGCTGATTCGAGTCCAGCAACAAGGGCAGGACAGCATAAACTCGCTTCTCGAGGCCCGAATTAAAAAGTAGCTCCTTGGTGAGAATTTCGTCCATTCTGGCTCGCATAGCTCGCAAACCGGTCCCAAGGTCATCCACGTTCATACGAATGCCATTTGCTGTCAGAGTCCGAAACTCCTGTCCAGGGGCTGGCCGCGTCTCAAACACCACGTCAACACCTGGTTTGCCTTCCTCCGAGGTACATTTACGAACATATGTCAATCTACTACCAAGATAGTAGCCAATGTGGCCCTCCGTCAGCCGCGTCTTGACGGCAGCATCTTCCGTCAGCGCGCCAGGGCTGCTTGGATCAAGCTGGCGACGGACGAGCAGGAACAAGCGGCAGATCCACAACAGAGCTGCCAGCGTTGGCGTCCAGTTGTTTGGCTGCTTGAAGGTGTCGTTGGCTTGCAGCGCCGTACAAAGGATATAGACGGTGGGACAGTACTCCAGGTCCAAGCTGTTCATGTCCGTGCTTTCATCAAGTACGGCACACCATACATTGGTCAGCGCCTCGGACAGCGTCATGACATGGTTGTTTTGACCTTGGGCCACTTCCACGTCGTCCAAAGCTTTTGCCAGCTCGTCACTGATTCGACCCGGAACCTCGTCGCCCTGGCGCCGTACTTGTAGGAGGTACTGCACGTAGCGCGTAGCCACAATCATGTAGCGATCGTAGGTGTGCTGCATGACTTTTTGATAATATCGGGCCGTAAACACGTCTCCCGACTTGGTGTACAGTTTCCCAAGGACCTCACGAGCCGTCGTGTAGCACAACATGTTTTCGTACGTCTTGTCCAAAAGACCGTGCATGACTGAGAGTAGGGTCGGGTTGACCTCGCTGCAACCCAGCTCTCTGACTTGGCTCAGTGACAACCGGTCAAGCAGCACCCCAAGGCCCAGAATCTGATAAACCGGATGGAGTCGTATCGAGTTGACGACAAAGTCCTTTTTTTTCTGAGCCTCGAGCAAATATAGGAAGCATTGCGCGTCCACACGGCGTCTCTTGGATCGCTTCGAATACTGGACCTCCACATAGCTCGAGCCCAATCCTCCTTTCCTGAGCCGCTGCATCCAGACTTTTCGTGGCGTCTCCGTGATGGCTGGATCGCCCTTATGGCATTGTTCATGTCGCTCCAGGCTTTCAAGTGTTGAAAAGCAAGAGGCACAGCAAGGACATCTGTAGCCCCGTTGTACTGGGATGCATGGGTACGCAGGTCGGCAGCCGTTCATGTCGAGAACAGGCTCCTTTCGAGGCGTCGCCTCCTTGATGAGATCCATTGCAAGCGAGATGTCTGCATCTTGTACGTTTACGCAGTGGCGCTTCAGGTGCTGGGCTGGGTTTTCGTTCAATGCGTGCCCGCACTTGCCGCAAATTAGTATCCACTCGTACTCATCTAGAACCAGGCCCAGCGATTCCAGGTACATCTGAGCGTGTGATGTATTGGCGTTTACGCTCAGGGACACTTGACGATGAGGATGTCGGCGTTTTGGCACTCTCAAGTCCGATCTCGGAGCATTGATAGTGTCCGCAGCAGAGCGGTCCAAGAGCATGCCATCGAGCTCGGTAGAGATGTTCTCCGTCACAGCCTCGTGCTTTGCTTTGATGTGCCGTCTTATGCCCTCAGCCTTGGGGTAGTGCTTGTTGCAGCCGCAAACCGGACACCAAAAATAGCCATCAAGTGCCCGTTTCAAAAGAAAGCTTTTTTGACCGATGGTGATCCGTGCCTCTTGCTGATGCCGCTACAAGTCGGTTTTAAAGCGATGTGAGCCTGTGACAGATTGGATTCGAAAGCCCAGCAGCACGCGAGGTGTACCTTGCGCTGATGATGCGCTTGCTCCTTCTGCGTCGTAAAGGTTTGAGCGCAAAATCGACATGTGTGGGTCGACTGCGCCACGCCCTGAATGTCCGACGAAGCATCCATGTTGTGCCACCCGATGCGGCGTGTTTCTGTCAATCAAAGCACAAGGTCAACGAATGATCAGGCTGGTCGGCCAGATGCTAAGTGGTGAGGCTGGAAAATGGGAAGGAAGCGGAGGCTGTTTGTCATCAGCGGACGTACATTGATGACTTTTGGCAGACGATGTGTGGCCGTCGCCGGTGTGGGCATTCACTATCCCAGCCAATCGGAAGGCGTGGCAGACTGGTATCCTCGTGCTCAGGCACACTTTGCACGGACTTGTACTGATGGTCTCTTCTCGACTAACCACGGCACCAACAGCGATTGCTTTGTTGGCCAGCTGATCAGAAAAAAAAAAAAAATTGGGCGATCACACACACACACACACACACACACACACACACAAACAACACACACACACACACACACACACACAAACAACACACACACACACACACACACACACACACACACACACATGGGCACACACACACACACACACACACACACACACACACACACACACACACACACACACACACACACAAAAACAACACACACACACACACACAAAAACAACAATTTTTCAAATGTCATCACGTTTGGATACTGTACAGTTCTTCTATTTCCCGAAGTTTTGCTACAAAAAGTCAATCTTCCTTTACTCGGACTTGTTCTACATTATGTACAAAACATGGGCCCTATAACTATGCTGCCAAAGATCAAAAACATGCATTAAGTTATATGTCAGATGCAATTAAAAGGTCCACTTTCTCACGACATGATAATGCCAGGCCTGCTTGCGCATCGCTTATGATCAGCCAGGATGCTGTAATCGCTGTCAAGCGGGCCAACGCCTGCAAAGATCCGTGCATTCTCTGTGTGTAACGCTAAAACATCAAGGAATAGGTGCCAAGCACCCAAACAGTACATGACCGCTGCAGCTATGCAAGCGAGGCACTCATTCCTCCACCACGGCCTGTGCCACCTATCATCGAAAAACAGCATCATCACAGCCGAGCCAGCCAGAAAAGAGAAGCATCACCTGAGATGAGCCAAAACGTCTTTGACTGCCCGTCGCTCGTTTTGACCAGAAGAAGATTGTGTCAGGAAAAGGCCCAAAAGATGTGTCCGCAGTGAGATACTGGACCTGAGCAACATGGCCTACCTCAAGGCACTTGTGCTTCACACCTGTCGTTGTGACGCCTTGTCTGTGTCAATGTTGACATGTGCGCATCTATTTTACCTGGCATCATGCATGATCAGGTATCTTACTAGCCAAGCACCTCACGACACCATCCGAGTAATTACCGGCTTGCAAGTTTTACCGGGCTCAAACGGCAGCGCCTACCTCATAAAGACACCCAATGTCCATCATGTCGCGCACAAAGCGGCGCAAATGTGTCCTTGATGTCATGTGCGCGTCTACTATTTTTGGGATTGCCCATATCCAAGCGTCTCGTCAATCAAGCACCTCACAAAGTCTCAACGAGCATGCCCAGGCGCGGCGGGCTCAAACGGCAGCGCCTACCTCATAAAGACACCCAAATGTCCATCATGTCGCGCACAAGGCGGCGCAAATGTGTCCTTGATGTCATGTGCGCGTCTACTATTTTTGGGATTGCCCATATCCAAGCGTCTCGTCAATCAAGCACCTCACAAAGTCTCAACGAGCATGCCCAGGCGCGGCGGGCTCAAACGGCAGCGCCTACCTCATAAAGACACCCAATGTCCATCATGTCGCGCACAAGGCGGCGCAAATGTGTTCTTGATGTCATGTGCGCGTCTACCATTTTTTGAGATCATCCATATCCAAGTGCCTAGTTAGTTAAGCATCCTTGAGCATGACCAAGGCTTGGAGCGGCACGGGATTGTGCATCAGACTCAAAAGGCAGCGCCTACCTCAGATTCACACCTGATGCACCTGAAACCATGCGGCAGATGGCGTATATGTGTCTATCCTACACATATTTACGTTTGGTGAGCCTGTGACTATTCATATTCAAGTTTCACGTCATTCCACCACCCTCGAGCCTAGCCAGGCCTTGACATGGCACGCAAACCAAATCCAAGAACAAATGGGAGTACCTACCGCCAACAGGCATTGGGTGTATATCGAACAACTTCACAAGCACAGTGTGTACAGTGACATCACCACACAACATTTTGAACGGCTTCAGTCCGATCTTGCTTGCGCTTTGCCCTGACCAAGCACCAGCATGAGGTCGTGACCACAACATCAAGGACAGCCAGTATCAGCGGTGAACACGACAGTGCCTACCTGACTGTGGCTTGAATCCGGGTAATCGTCACGGTTCATTCATTTCGCATGTCTGATTGTTCATGTACAACATTCTTGAAAACGTCCAATTGTCCCTTGTCTCACTGTCGCCGTGGGGCGCGAGGTCAGCATATCTGAGCTCGAGAGGCTTAATCTTCCGAGTAGGGGCGAATCAAATGGCAGCGCACACATCTATGTCAGCTGATGGCAATATGATGGCGGCATATACTGTCGCTGTTCACAAGCAAACGCAACTGGACGGGCCTGCCAGTTGCCGCATGGAGGCCGATGCATGGATGCGGCCCTGGCATCCCGTCAAAGGTGTCAGTCAACATTGCATTCAAATGGGATCGAACAACGGTCGACAGTCTCACAAACATTCTCGCGATGCCGCACTCACCGTCAGCCCTGATCACAATCTGCTCAAACGAGCTCGCACGTCGTTTGCTGGGGTCTGCATCAGCAGGTCTGAGGGTTTTGGGAACGGGCGAGGGGGGAGGCTGATTTAGCTTCAGGTGTCATGAGCGAGTGGGCCGGGCGCGAGGTATTGCTTGACATGAATCATAGCAGCCTCGACAAACCTGTTGGCATCAAATCATGTCACTGTGCCCCATCTTGTTCTTGACACGTCTCGGACATGTCCTAAGAGGGTCAAGCAGCCCTGGTGCTCCGAGCCTGTCACACCGTGCCGTGCCGTGCGCCTGGGTAAGCTTGTTTTTCAACATTGGCACCTGTCGGTGATGAATAGCGCAGACCAAATTGAATGCCAGTGCTTACCGTTGAATCTTGTTGCCATCATTTTTTCATGAGCACATGCGTAGATGCGACAGTGCGCAGCGTTCTCTCGTCCAGCTGGCTCAACTGCGTTTGGTCGTCGCAGGCGATGCAAAAATGCCAAAAGGTGATTAACAAATTTTTGTTAAATTTTGAACGAATGCACAGGCCACAACAACAAGAAGAACAACACGTCGAGTTTGCGAGTATGAACTTTGTCAGATGTTCCTGTTTTGAAATTGTCAGAAATTATTTTCTTGTAAAATTTACATCCAATGTTAAAAATTTTAATCCTTTGTTCTCCTCGATGCTGTTGTCTGACAAACGTTACTTATGAAAGCCTTCTTGAGTACACTTGCACCCATTATGCACACAATGGCCCCCGAAGCGTACATGATGTCTTTTACAAGAAGGCTGGTCCAAATGAAATATTCTTACACTAGCATGCAATAATCATCCATCAACTTCAGAACGCCAATAAACTTGTTAGCCGCCGCGTAGTTCATCAGATACTTTTTTTTCTGTCCCCGATTTCGACCGAAATATTGGCGCGACGTTGTGTCGATTCGGTGGCGTAGCTGCAGCAGATATCGTGGCTTCAGAGCGAGTGGTAGCAGTAGCGGCAACGGTAGTGGTGCGCGTGCCACTCGATGCTGCTCGTTTTGCTGCGGGAAGAGGCGACTCCGCTGCCTGAGCCGTTGTGGAAGAAGCAGCAGCTGTGCACGTGACATCCGATGCCGTTCGCTTGGATGTTGAGGGAGCAGGGCTGGTAGCGATGCTGTTGCCATCGCCATGATCGTCAGACCCAGGGGTAGCA